GATACAAAGTCTGACCGCTACTCACCAGGAGAGTTCAAACATTTGGATTATATATCTCATTTCACACCGACTCTCTCTCTCACGTATTTAAGTAAATGCAGTTGCTTTACCAGTGCTCGATCTTCCTGCTATGGCCGCTGCCTTAGAAAATGATCTCTCTTGAACGGAAGCACAACATCCCTTCAGTGCCAGAAAGTACCACTAGCTACCACCTCAGGTACTATCCTGTGTGACAACTGTACTGGTTTACCCCGACCCATTGTACCTTTTGCTCATTGTCGTCTCGTCTTCGATGCCCTTCATGGTTTGTCTCATCCAGGTATCGCAGCCACATTGCGTCTCATCGCTGCACGATACGTCTGGCTGTCCATAAATAAAGATGTCCGTATGTGGGTAAAGCAATGCTTACAATATCAACGATCAAAAGTGCACAGGCACGTCGCCGCCTCCATTGGGCACATTTGCTACACCTGTTACTCACTTAGATCACGTTCATATTGACATTGTAGGACCACTGCCACCATCGCATGGATATGATCACAAACTCACATGTGTCGATGGTTTCACAAGTTGGCCCGAAGCTATTCCCATACTTTCCATTACGGCCGAAACAGTTAATCACCGCTTCGTAGAACGATGGATAAGGATATACGGTTGTCAGTCGGCTGTCACAACTGACCTAGGACAACAGTTCGAGTCCGAATTATTCTCCTCGCTAACTCGGCTTCTTGGTACGGAGTGCATACGCACTATCGCCTTCCACCCAAGCTTCGAACGGTTTAGTCGAACGGTTTCATCACCAACTTGAAAGTGCTCTTCGAGCACACGAAAACAACAATTGGTACGAAACCTTACCGTTCGTCCTCCTAGGTATCAGAACGAGCTTAAAGGCAGATATTCAGTGTTATGCCACTGAATTGGTATACGGCGTCTGCCTGGGGAATTTTCCACACCTCGGAGCAGTGATAACTTCACTAAGTCAGACTACGTCCAACGATTGTCTAAATTTATGCGAGCACTGCCTACGGTGTCAACTCGAGTACAACATCGAAAGGTCGCTCTCCGTCGAGAGTTATCTACCTGTTCGCATGTTTTCATACGAGTCGATTCAGTACGCAAAACTTTGTAACAGCCTCACGAAAGACCTTTTCATGTGATTTCTCGTCATGAAAAGACCTTCAGGGCTGCGCGACATGACCGCGTCGAGATCGTCAGCAGTGATTGTCGTAAGCCAGTACATGTCGATGACAGTGCCCTACTCGCTAACCCGAGACCCAATGCTAGACCTACCAAACTACTAGCGAGATCCTTAAAGCCACTTCGGACCCCACGCTAGACAAATCAGAGACCTCATTCTCACGTCCCATTCAACAGCATGTGTCATCTGTACTATCTACGGATGAGACTCCGGTCTCACGTACAGATGAGCAGACTACGTCGACCTTGACTTCGGATGAGATTGCTGTCTCACGAGGTATGCGACTTCTGACATACGCATGGTTTCGAACTTGGTCGTTCTGGTTGTTTATGGCCTCCTCGTTTAATCTGGTCACGTCCTATGTCTGCAGCTTTTTCTGATACGAACCCCTACAAACTCAATCTTCAGACTCTGGATACGAGCCACACTGGTGTGGCAAGTCAACCCGAACAAGAAACCTGGCATTTTATTACCGGTTCAGTTCAACGTAAAAGGCTTTCATTGACAGCTTGAGTTTCATTGATCGCTTCCTGTTCGTCAAGCCTTCCGCCCTACAGTCGCCCGTTATCCGACCAGCCCCTCTCAACACGAAATCGCTACGTATCGAAAGTGTAGAATCTTTCTAGGGGGGCATACTTTTACGAAGATAACACAATCGCTGAAATACAAACATTTACTATTGTACTTAACTCTAACAATAATTGTTATGTTGTACTCCCATTGTTTAACTGTACTAAAGGCTACCTCTCGCGCCCCAAGCGTGTCATTCTCACTCCGTTTCTCTCCTCGTGGTTGTTGGCCGCTCCTGTATTCTGGTCTTCATATTATTTCGATATCACAAGGCCAACGATAAATATACTTCTTCTTCCGGAACAGCGAAGTGAGGCGGTGAAGCCAGTAGGCTAATGCCATTTGATTAGACATGACCAGGCATTTATAGTCATACAAAAATAAGCCAGACATGTGATGTTACAGAATCCAGCAATGTACATATGCACTCAACAAGATTTTGATAAAGGTTGAAAGCGCCAAAATGATATACGAATACAGAAAAGTTGGTCATGAACATGTTTCAACCAACCGCGATTGAATTAGGCATCGATTAAAGATTAAGGACTTTGTACCTACGTAGCATAGAATTATTTGTGTGTAGGCTGAGATCAGTCGGGTAGTGAAAATCCAACTGCATTGTGAATAGAATGCATGGTTATATTAAAAATCGATAATAATCAAAAAATGCGAAATTGGTACACTAATTTGTGTGTTTTATAACCAGAAGAACAGAATAATGGTGACGAAATGCGAAGAGCTGTATTCATTTTTAGGCTGGAAAGCCTATTGCGGTTCAGGCTGTCGAGGGTAAATGCACGTGACTTCGTTTGTTGAGAAAGTATACTGAGGCCTGAAAAATACTAGTACTTACTACTACGTCAACTGACAAATGAAACTGGCAAATGAAACGAGAGTGAATGTTTCTCCTAATGACCAGCTCTAGATTTTGTGATTTGATTGATAGTTTGGTTGGGACGGATATTGACTACAGTAATCGCATAATGCTGAAGAGCGATAGATGGAGATAATACAAATATATTCGTTCCCACTGAAGCCGGAAATTGGCTTCTAGAAATTGGTCAATATTTGAATATTATAACATGACTCATCGATCAAGCATGTGGTTACAACGCAAACGATTTACATCCTGAATGAAAGTCTGCTCCCAAATGTCTCTTCAGAACGCGATCTCGGTTTATTAACCAATGAAAGCCTCCACAAGAGCCCAAACTATATAGGGGACGCAGCCAAGGCAAATTCGACTCTTCACTTTTTGTGAAGACAAACTGGGGCTATCACCTCAGAATTATTCTTAACGTTGTCTAAGAAATACGCGTGCACGCACCTGGAGCTTCACAAATTCGTCTCAGCCCCTCTTTTTAAAAGAGACATAAATCTCTTGGATCGAGTGCAGAGACGAGCAATTAAATGGTTGATAGAGTTAAGAACAAACCTTATGAAGATAGACTCCAGCTCTCGGGATAACTCCTCCCGAGTTACAGGATAATCAGAGGTGATCTGATTATGGCGTTAAACATATTGAGCACACTAAACCTTACCAACGTGAGCATCTTACTGATGCATCACCATCACTCCCCTCGAGACAATCCTCGAAAGATCGCACATCAAAGAGCGAACCCTCAGGTTCGAGCACACTTTTTCTCATTGCGAGTCGTTGCAACTTGGAATGCTCTCCCAGCCGAGTTGACCGCAGCACCCTCGGTGGACAGCTTTAATAAGGGACCAGCATCTACTCACGTACGGATTCTCATCTCCCTCTTGGACATGCTGTACCTGATGCATGCCTTGAGACTTGCTGGTCGTTATTATTGCCATCTCCTCAGATCACTAACTTGATCTTTATCGCTAGTTATCTCTGTTTCCTCTCCCTTACTTACACTTCGTTCTTCTCTCACAATCTTCATTACCGATTAATAAAATAAATTATCTATTTATTTACTTAGTTCTGAAATCCTCTTCTTATTGGCATTAGAATTGTCTCCTTATTATTTTCCACACTACAACTAACTGATCTCTGGCTTTTTAATGTAATAGCTGCTGGTATCTAGAAACCGTACTGCCCTGAACCCAACATTTTCATTCAAATCCCAAGATATACAAACTCACAACCAACTGCCAACTGACTAGATTTAGACAGTCGAGTGGCTAGACCCCATTCATTGAACACTACCAACTACCTGGAACCGTACCGAAAGAACAAGAACCGAGCTCAAACAAATCAATTGGTTCATACTACCTCGTGAGAAATATATTGGATATTGGATCTCATACAATGCTCCTCATAACTTACAGCACACAAGGCAAATTACCAAAGGCTGAGGTCACACCACTTCCACCTCTGATACTATAATCCTTTTCTACTAACACGCCGAAGTAACTATACTTTTAAAACTTCTCGTATCTAATATGAATCTCCGAAAGTTTGGAAGTCACTAACTTTGAGAACACACCATGTTTATATGCTTGTCTCGGTTGTGCCACGTCATGCATCTCCTGCCTCACATGACCCAAACGATCTATACCCTCAATGGAAGTCCGCCCTCTAATGTTTCCTCAGAGCGCGATATAGCTTTAATAACCACAGAAAGCCTCCACATCAGTCCAAAATATGTAGGGAATGCAACCAAGGTAAATGCGACCCTTCACTTTATGCGAAGACATCTCGGTGCTATCACCCCGAAATTATTTTTAACCCTGTTTAAGACGTACGCGCGCTCACACTTGGAAGTTCACAACGTCATCGCACCCCTCTGCTTAAAAGAGACATAAATCTCTTGGATCGAGTGCAGAGACGAGCAACCAAATGGGTGATAGGGTTGAAAAATAAACCCTAGGACGATAGACTCCAGCTCTTGGGGTTATTTCCACTGAGCTACAGGAGAATCAGAGGCGATCTGATTATGGCGTACACCATATTAAACACGCCAAACAATCCCAATGCGAGTATCTTACCGATGCATCCCCACCACTCCCGTCGAGGCCATCCTCAAAAGATTGCACATCAAAGAGCGAATACTCAGATTCGTGCACATTTTTTCTCATTGTGAGTAGTTGCAACTTGGAATGCTCTCCCAGCCGAGGTAACCACAGCTACTCATTGGACTACTTTAAGAAGAGACTTGATAATCACATACTCACATACGGACTATCATCTCCCTCTTGGACCCAAAGAACAAGAATCGAGCGCGAAGAAATGAAATTGGTTTACAGTAGCTCGTGTAAAAGATATTGGATATTGGAGGTCATCATCAGGTAAACACTCAAAGTTGCGCGCTACCCATCTGAAGTTTAGGTTGTCGGTTTGTCTGGACCACGCGCTTGTTTTTTCTTATCGTTGTCGATTAAATTTCCTACAAACTGTAAGTGTATTGCACGTGCCTACTAACTCGTTGGCTCACTTTTCCCTACCAGATAACATCAAGTACTGCACCCCACACTTCCCGAGTACGTAAGGTTGCTTCAGGCTCGACGCCCACTCACCAAACTCTAGACCTTACACCTCCAAAATGTGGAAACCACTTCTGGTCATATGCGATGTAAAAACAACCAATAAAACTCTCAATACAATAGTTCTTTTGTTGGCTATCTTTTTCAAAACGCATTCATCACTTGAGAGTGGCAGCATCCAAACAAATAATACTTGTATTGAATATCGTAAAAACCTGTCGATATACGTTAAAAACATAATATACAACATGTCAACCAAGACAGCACCTGTTTCGTACTGTGGTTGGTGTAGTGAAACTGTATACAAATTAAAAAACGTTGTGGAGAAGCGAGACGCCTACAGTGCAGATGGGAAAGCATGTGTTGATCTATTGGCGAACACAGAAAAGGTGGGTTACTCCGAACTTTATTTTTTGAGTTCGAGTGAACTTGAGTTACCTTTACTGGGATAAAAAGTAGGTTTTGGATATTATTGAGTACTCAGCCTTTAAGTAAACCGACATCGTAGGATGTTAACTTTAAAATCCTACCAGAAACATCAGCTCGAGGGTCATATGCATTTTTTCCCTCAGGTATTGTATTGCCATACGAAGGGTGAGATTCATCTTGATTATCTAACTGATTTGATCGCCAGACTAAGAGAACAACTGCTTGGAGCTGGTCACAAATGTCATTCACATCAGAAGCCACACTAGTGGAAGCTGAGATTTTCAGACCTAGTCTTTATCACCAGAAGTCTATGAAGCGGAGAACTGTCTTAAATGGAATGGTCTTCTTTTCATTGTAAGGAATAAACATCGCTATATGTCGGTTGTTCATACAAGACCTATTACCTTCGCTACATTTCAGTAGAACCAGCAGCATGGATCGGTATGGAAATGTTTTAGTATTTCTAAAGAGTCAAAGTTGTAGATAATTTAAAACGACCTAGCAGTCAATGTGTACGTGTCTAATATATTGCTCTAAAGTCCACATAAAAGCGCCCTATTCAGACGTAGCTAGTTGAGTTGTTACGAAACTGAATGGATAACCAGCTCACAAAGACTTCAAACCCCTCACTTTACTAAACTTCCCACGAGAAAATACCTTTATAAAGGTATGTCTGTAGCAGCCCTAATAATCTCCACCTGCACACCTTTGTTTTATTCAAGCGTGTTGTCACTTATTAGGAGTATCATCTGATAAACCCCAATGTCACCAATGCAATCTGTAAAGCAGCACAAACAAGGCGTATCGATCCTGCACAAAAAAAATGCGTAGGTATCGAGTTGAATTAGTATCCACCATTGAGCGTTACAAGCACATACTTAACAACTGCCATACCGGTTAAATAAAGTTGAAGTAGGGCAGTACTAAACTCACGAATGTTTTTTCACAAACATCACAAAGCTAAGTACAGCTAAACCTCTATGTTGCGCGATAACTTCATGCGAACATTTATGCGTTGTCCGCACGGATAATTTTTTTACTTCAAATGCGTAAATACCTGGAATTCATGTTTCATCCATGTGATAAAATTTTTTGCAGATCTCTTATTATTACTGTGTTACTATTCCGTTTCAGGGTACAATAGATTCTATCGACTTCATTTTCGATAAATGGAATCGTTCCTTCTGCTCGCATTGTCTTGAAAAAGGTTCTTCGGATCAAAACCATAGTACACCAATGAATTCTTCACATAACATCATATGGCCTAGACATCATTTACAGACGAATTCTTTATACAACTTACAAGCCTATAATGAGAACGTGCGTACTTTCTTTCACATGCTTGATGATGCTTTAAGTTGTTTCATGCAGTTTATCAATGATCCCAATATATCTGTTCTCAATGTATTAAATTTCCCTTCGTCTAGCTCCTTAAATATTAGTTCGATGGTATGTCGGAATTGCTCAGCAGTGTACTACAATCTCTTAGATTATTACACTAATAATCTCTTAAGATACAATGAACATGAAAGAGAGCATCAAAATTCCATCTTGAGAGAATCTTCTAGTTCTCGTTTCGCCGTATGTTTGGACGTACAAAATGCCATAAATCGCACGCAGTGGGCTTGGTACAACTTATTTCGATGTCGAAAGGAGGAAGCCAACGCTTTTGGCTACTTTTTACCATTGATAGTTGTTGTTGTCTTCCTCATAATGTTCCATGGTCTTGCCCACTCAGTATGTCGTTATCCTATCCATCTAATGGTGTACAGGCCCACACGTGTTGAACCCACGGTTAGAACGCAAGAACGAGTTCTTAGCACGTCTTCAGTACCGCGTGAACAAATATCATTAGCCCAATCTTACGGCAGCATTGGATGCGTTGAGAATAACGCAATAATGGGCACTAACTCGATTGTAAAGAAATACTCACGATCTGATTCACTTTTTGATAATAGTACAGTAGTGATGCAAACAGCACGATCAAGAATTTAATATATTATTTATCAAATAAAACAAGCTGAATGTCTTTCATACGATGATTTCATATATATATTTCTGCACAATCAATACACCCAACCGCATAATCCACTTACATTTTTATTCTTTGACATTTTGATTATCTTTTTAATCATTCTATCTTGGTAATAATATTGCTTTTCATGATAACTAAATTGTTGTTTCTAATTAGTCACTTTATCTTAATAAAATGTTATATGAGAAGAACTGGACTCTTTTGTTTCAAACAGGAAAACTACGCTCCAAATACCAGTTCACATCCGTAATAAAATTGCATGAAGGGAGCAGTGTATATGTATGAGCTATTTTTTTTACACTTGTTCACTGCATGGTTAGCACAGATTTTACCAACATAGCATAATGTAGGCAGAAATGGGTGGTAGCTAGTGGCGGAACCCAAGATGCGCGTCTCGCGCTGTTTGGGACTCGTCAGCTAGATGTACTTGCAACCTAGGGTTGATATTCGCTTTGGGACTCGAAGTGAACGGTACTGGGTTGGTGTGCCGAAGTTAATGTCAACTCTGGGATGCAGGTACACCCAGCGAGTGAGTCTCAAATAGGAAGGAATTCGGACCCTGGATTCCACTACTAGCCACAATTCTCTGTTCATAATGCTTGTGACATAATGGCAATAGCAAGGCGATCTGCTTTTATACCGAAAGAGACTGATCAGTTGCAGTCCTCAAACATTAATGGGAGGGTTCAAGAAAACCAATACAAATGAAATAACAAATTAGTTGGGGCCACATAAGCAAGGCTAAATATAGGTTTCTCACACTGTACACACTGAAAATATCGAAAAGTATGGGGTTGTATCCCCCTAGACTGATTTATTACATTTTGGTGTTACGAACCCCCTCACCATCCAAAATCAGTATTCTAAATTTCGTCATGGTATCCAGCTTGTCTAATTTATTCTACGTTGGAGAATTTTCTATCACCAGGTGACTTACATCATTAGCGGTATTCATAGCCTTTCAGACTATGGAGATGAATAGAAACGGTTGTAAACTAGACCAACCTACACATCTATTTAATTGTAAATCCTTCTAGCTAAGCTTGACGCGTAATCGCAAAATTGACTGGGATTGACGTTAATGTACTAAACCTCAACAATCTAAAATTGAAAATGGACACTTGAAAGCGAAGTTTTCACTAAACAGTTTCAAGTTTTCCGTAAGTATGCAGCTCATTTGTTGAGATTTGTAAATGTATGTGAATAATAAGGAAAATTATATATATTGCACTATTACCTCATTTTTATCTTAGTGCTTATGAGGCTAAAAAAAGTAAATGCAGAAAGATACTAGCTACTTTATCACAGGTAAATAAAGGTCTTAGTCTAAACGGATTAACGATGCACAAACAAGACAATGAAAACCCAATGAATTATAGTTTCAAATTTATTGAGCTTCAATAATTAAAAGAGAACAATATAAAATAAGCAGTAAACAACCAGATATAATTGAAATAAAGACAATTGCGTTACATTTTCAGTCAATATGTTGAATTAACTCATCGTTTTTTATACGATAAAACCATTTAATAATTGCCTGAAAGTTTGTTACCTGAGTAATTTTAAATCTTTAGTCTGCCATGTGCATTCTATTCTAAACAAAAGCTGAATACAATGATCACTTACATTTTAGTGGGTGAAAATGAAAGGGGAATTAATGATATTAATATTACAAGATAAATTTGCCTTTCTTCAACGAATATAAGCATAGAGAGTAACATTTTTGTATCATATTGAAAATGTAGACCAAAACAGTGTAAGTTAATTTCCACAAAAGTTATCACAGTAAAATCACTACATTAACTTAGTCATTTCTTCTTGAAGCATTATAATCTGATGAGCAAGCCAGAGCTAGTTTGAATCCTATACAAAAGTGAAGAACAGTATAGACAAAAACAGATAACTGATATAGTAATTACAGTAAATATATACTTGTGAAAGCACAGTAAACTAATATTTATGAAATGAACATTTGAGTACCATTAAAATAATAGTAATGATATAAAGCCTCTCAGTGATAACATGTTTAAGGCGCTTTTTTGAATTAAACCAATATAATTACTAAATAAAGGTAACCAAAACATCTAGCTCAGAGAACGAAACTCGACCACAAACGACTTTTCGCTAGATTGGTAAGTACACACCGACTGTAAATGCAGACAGTTCACTCACAACGACTGCATGCTAACTCAGTGGTCTGAAGCTTAAGCGTTTGCTCTTAGGCTTGAACGTCTTTGGTTGTCCTTGGTGTTAAGCGCCCCTGGTTTTCAATGACTGGTTGGCCAAAGTTAATCTGTAGCATAATGTGTATGTTAAATGAAAGACTTGTGGCTAGATAGATAAGATACAAGCACTTAAACCCCTAAACCATAATGAGTAGGCCAGTAAGATAATATTTTGACCGTCTTCTATGGGACCATTAGTTTCACTTGTTTGAGACATCAAAATAACAGACGTCATGCTCCATGCGATATACAGGGACTTTGGTTCAAATAGAAACAATCACCGGAGAGTAGATTCAGTTCCTGATAAATGCACACTCCCTGATTTAAAGTCTAATCACTTGAAAACTGAGTATAAGCTCTACAACTTGGTAAAGTTTCTGACCAACTGTTTATCTACTAGTAATAGTTATTGATATTTAAGAACAAAACAGTCATATATGATGTGCCTGGTGCCGTCATTTTCAAAATGAGTTAATCTGTTTTATTTTTCAATTTTCTGCAAACAGATTTTTATTAAGAAGCGAGACTTCCACAGAATCTAAACAAGCATATAAACCTATGTATAAGTAAATAGAAATGCGATGGACTTACGAACTCAAAGTTCCAGCTCCCAAATGAGCGAGCAAATGATACATATGACCTAGGTAAGCACCTTTACCTAGATTTCGGTGAAAAATCTCCTAAAGAAGAGTATTTGAAATAAACATTAGATTCGCTATGTTAAATAATCCAATAGAGTAAAGCATTACGTTTCAATGAAACCTCAACTAGTGAGTATTAAGTACATCAATGAAAATCACGGGGAGATAGCAGTTTTTGTCATGAATATTCTGCTTTCTTATGAGACTTGCTGAAAATACAACTGCTGCATGATATCAAATCTAGATAAACTAAATAATTAGGTGTAAAAATGCATTAATTTCAAAAGTCGTCATGCGAAAGGATATATAGCATCTCGACTACCAACTTAGTTAATTTATGGGAAAAAACATAAACTGCTAACATTTTAACATTTTATGGATTATGTTACCAGATCTAATTAGATTTATTATTCTATAGTTCAGGATGAGTTTGAATAAGAGCTGTAAGAGTGCTAGCGGGATATATATTAAAGCATGTTCCATACACGATTGCGTTGTCACACGCTGATAAGCTCTTTCGTATCAGCGCTAGTCGGTACTGGGGGAACATTCTAGAATCTTCTCATGTAAGAAAACTATAAATATACTAATGTTTTGAACTTCTTGACATCCACCTAATCTTGTTAATGGGTTATAATCTATTTCCCGCTCAACAGTGTTCTGATTTGGGAAAACGTTTCGAGTGAAATTGGTTTACGAGAATACTAAGCATTAGGAAATAGCTGAGTTGTAATAAAGAGAGAATTAAAACAAAAAGTGAGCGTTATTAGCATAGTTAATTTGGGATACGAGCAAGTTCTCCAGTGTATGTGCTGTCTCTATGTAACTTGCACAGCTGCGTATAATTACATAAAAAGGACATACGCAAATTGGTACAATAAATAAGTAGCATCTGAAGAAGCTAGTTGATGAATTTAAAAATTTCCGGTTGAAGCCGCAGATTTTACTGGTTGAAAGTATTACGGTTACGGACAAATTGTATCAATGAAATGTACGAAAGATTTTATTCTCGTTACTTCTTGAACATGACACACCTTATTGTAATAACTGTCGATGAATAACTCTAAAACTACACTTAACAAGCTATTATTTATAGTTTATTATAGAAATTGATGAAATCTATTTTAGCAAGCACCTCCATAGACTACAACTCTCATATTTTATGCTTTTTCACTGAAGAACTAGGGAAAAAAAGTTCTATGTTCACTTTAAGATGAGCGGTAATTTTAGGAACAAAAATTTGGAGGTTAGCTTTTTACTTTCGTCCCTAAGAAAATAAACTGTAAATAAGAAAAGTCTATATAAACATATATATATATATTAGTTTATATGTAAAAGGGATGACAAACAAGTATATTATATAAAGATAACCCCTCACTAACATTAGATGCAGAAACTTTAAAATTAAGAAGTGTGGTTCTGTAAATACGTGCGAAACTCTTCACTAGCAAACGCCGAAAATCACACAAGTTACTGAACCCGATACAACTGAATTAATAACGAAGACAATTCCTTAGTCTTCTGATCCTAACATACATTTTTAATTGCCAAATTAAGTGACTCGTCGCGTGGGGAAGTTATCCGTCTACCAAATAGAGAATGGGTATACCGAGCAGTAGTTTTTTCTATTTTATAGCTGTGAAACATGGCCTTTAAAAATGGAGGATATCCGTAGATTGATAAAATTTGATCACAGATGTCTTTGAAGCAGTTCTTGTGTGTGTTTGAACCACCGAATGAGCAGTGAGGTGAGATGCAGGTTACTAAGTAAGGAGAGTATAACGATTGATGGGTGCTACGCATGAACGTAAACATGTCATTTCGATGTGCTTGAACTATTACGAGTTTACCTTAGTCGGAAAACGAGAGCGAGGATCCGGCGAGACGATATGCTACTCTAATCCGAATGTCCCAACCCCCATTGAATAAAAGAAGACTTGATATGAAGTAGAACATGTATTCTACAAGCATCCAGAAAGTACGAGGTCCGAGTCCAGAAGAGAATCAGGATCCCGGACTAGAAATCCGGGTCATAAAACGTTACAGATAATGCATATTTATACATTTAGGTCGAATAGGAAACAGCATCGAAGTTTGTGATTTAGGACCAGTTGTATTAACGTAGGTATATTCGCATTTCCATAAATCGTGAGTCTCAAGCGTTCAGACCTTTTTCTTTTGATATCTAATCGTTTCTACTATTACTCAGTCAGTCAGTTAGTTACAGGGTAGAACTTTGTACGTACGTACATCAGTTCAGGTCGCTATACTGCATTAGCACACAGACACGATTTTCTGTCCAAATACCATAATGGTAGAGATAATAGAAGTATTAGCGGTAAAGGAGAAGATTAGAGTTAGATGATATTATTCACGAAGTATGATTCAGTGAGATAAATTTAGGAAGATAGAGGTATTGAGGAATTCAGATTAGAACTTCATAGAACATAAAGAGTGGATGCATCTGCGCCGTCGGAAATGATTTCGAGCCATATCATTCAAGGTCTCCAACCATCAAGTACTATCGTCTCGCGGACCCCAATCAGGAAGTCGATACATACCAACATGACTCGGTCCACTTGTCAGTAACTTCACGCATTTCTGCCACGTCTTAGTTTGGTCGCCCCTAGATTTCTTCCAATCTACTCCTAAACCACAAAACATTGCTCGTCGAGGCAGGCGGTTGTTAGGCGTAGGTAACACATGTCCCAGCCACCTCAACTGAAGTCTCACTACTTCATCAATTGATCTACTGTCCCTACCTAGTACTCGTTTCCTAACTATAACGTTGCTTACTCGGTTGTCCCAGGATACGTGAGCAATGCTCTGAATTTGTGTTTGCAATTTATCTGTAATAATAAGGTGTAGCAACTTGAACTGATCATTGTGGTGTTTCGTTCTCTGAGCTGGATGTTTTGGTTGTAGAGCTTCGATTGTTCTTCTGAACAACATCATCAGCACAAACTTCAGATAGAATTGAAGTATTCGAATTTCTCCACGTTTGACCCGTAGCTTGTTCTGTTAACCTCGATCTTGATTGGTTGTTGTTGACCTTAAACCTGTCGTTGATTGCACCTTTGTTCTTATCGTATCCCTCTTTTGATCTGTTTCTTGATCATGTGTCGCCTATGATTTTTTCTGATTGACTGATAAATCGGGTCAATGTCGATGTGTTTGTTGATTGCTGATTGACCTGAATGCCAAGCTTCTAAAAATTCTCTAGTGTTCTTTGTCCTCCCCCTATCCAGTATTTCCACATTGTTCCAATCGAATGTATGTCCATAGTTGTCGGTGTGTATTGATATAAGAGAAGAATTGTCGCGGCGTTTGACTGCTAATTGTTGTTCATGTAAACGAAGCTGAAGAGGCCGTCCACTTTGTTCTATGTAGTGTTTTTCACAGTCTGAGCAATTTCTTTTGTAGATGGTACTTGCTTTTTCTTCCTTTGTCATTTTGTCTTTTGGTCTACATAGGATTGATTGAAGTGATTCTGTTGGTTTGTGTGCCACACCAATTCCAAATGGTTTCAGTAGTTGTGCTGTATGTTCCGATGTGTCTTTTATGTATGATAGGATGATCCGTTTATTGGTTCCTGTACTTGATTTCGCTTCTGTTGACGATTTTGGTTGATATTTTTTGAAGAAGTTTCATGGATAGCTGTTCTTTTGGAAGATAGTCATAAGGTTTTTTTCCTCGCTTTTTAGTGCCTTATGTGAGCTGCAGTGTCTTCGCTCTCTTGAACAAAGTTCGTATGCATTTGATTTTGTGGGTTCTTGGGTTGTTGCTACGGTAGTTGAGAATTACGTCTGTGTGGGTTGGCTTCCGAAATACTTGGATCTCCAGCTTCCCTGTGTTAGTTCTGGTGATTAATACATCCAGGAATGATAGGCTGTTGTTTGATTCCTTTTCCATCGTGAATTTGATGTCATCGAAGACGCTGATCCGATTGTAGATGTTCTCTAGCTCGTTCCTTTTAATAATGACTGATCACATATATTCCAGATCCTAAGTTTCTTGTGATCGACTGACTTGGTTGACATAAATTCTCCAATTAAAGGGGTGTTCAAATGCTTATTAGGATTTGAGTGCACACAGAAACAGAATGGAAAATAAATCGGTGAGAATGTGATTCAGTAACCTTGTACAACTTCAAGAATTCGACTTTGCGCTAACAATTTATTGTAAGAGCTAATAATACTACTTGATCACAAACTGAAGTAAGCAGAGTAAGTTTCGAATGAGACTATTGGTAGAAAGTTAGGTGCTTTGATTACTGAAGCATAATTCCTAAACACGTTTAATCCTTTAATAATACATTAGTGAAACAAATGCGTTACAGGTGCATAAAGTGAAAAATTAAGCGTATTTTACCACTAGTTTTTTGGTGATGTGGAGAAACTAATTAAGTAACACCGATATAAGAGATTTAAGATGGGAGAAAATTCGACTACGAACTTTTATCAATTGGATTAGTTGGTATTTACGTTAAGTATACTAAATTATTTCCAATCATTACGAAGTACTAATTGAATAAATAAAAGTAAAGAAGACAAATTAAAGTATTGCCTTTTCCTTTTTAGTTTATTTTCAAGTTAGAAACTAAATTATCTCAGACATCTTGTTGTGTTCATTAACCGAATTTCTTTATATGTAAATCAGTCAATTATAATTTCAATTTCAACTTTGTCTCATTACTACATACTATGGATTGTTTTAATTCATAACGAGACAAATATGTAAGGCTGCGTATTGATCAAGAAGTAGCTAAACCGCAGATGTTGTTTATTTTTCACCTTTGAGCACTCAAGATATTTTTTTTATGTTTCTGTTCAGGAATATGTCATATCTACAAATAATATATTCATCATATACTAGGCATATTTTTATAGTAGATAAATTCCAGTAAATTAATGACTGGCATTAATAAGGTTTTTCAAACAAAAAACTGATCTTTTGTTTAAATGACCAAATTAGACTCAATTAATTATCAATTAATTAATTAATTATATAGAAAAATTTCGTTATTTTTTAAACGCTACTACTTTATGTCGCAAAGTACGTATATTTTTCTTATTCTCCTTCATACAGATAACACTCCAAGGTTTCACACAGTACCACCTAGACCGAAGAAGGATATGACATCGATATATTCAGACCCATTGTGATTTTGATCTTACCAAAAATATCCTGCTTTCGCCTGGTGGTCGAATGGATTATAAAGACGCCAACATCTTAAGGGAAGCACGGAATACAGTGGACAGTTGGTATGCACCAAGACGATCTGGATTTAGAAGTTGAACTGGCTCTTCAATTCCACACAACAACAAAGGCAGAAGACAGCCAGTGAAGCAGCAGTAGCTACAGACAAGAATTAGCAAATCAAGGTCAGCTTCTCTACAATGAGCTAGATCGAGCTTAGAGAATGAAACACCACCACAATCATCCACCTGAGCTACAAATTTCCTCCACCATCTCATGATTAGAAGTTTCAATTTCAGAGGATTATTCTAGTATAAGATGAGGAAATGTTATCCAAACTCCCAAAAAAAATTAAATGAAACCATGTTCGGATCGCTTGTCAAAATTGGATGCTTAAAATTTAGTGTGATAGGCAGTGTACAATCATGTTATCAGTTAGCTGGCTGAAGACATGATTATGTCGAAATAAACATTCATTTAATATGGAAAGTAATATTTCGTAAAACAAAATCTGGCTTCATTACCGTCGTATTATGATCAACTCTTTGTAATCAGATAGTCAATATACATATCGGTATAGCTTAAAGTACTAAAAGTTCATTTTGATAAAAACAAACGAATACAGATAGCTTTAAGAATTAGCTATCCGTTTGACAGACTAAAAGAGCATACATGCGAAATTCACTCACTGACAGTAATAATTCTTTGAATCGCGTCCTCTTAATCAGTGTTAACAAACCCCGTTGACCAGCTTTGTAAGCACGAATAAAAGCACCAAGATATGGGGTGGAAATATACCAAGTATTCTCAGATTTGATGGTTAAAGCTCCATTTTGTACTAAAACGCTTATTTCATTATCCGAAAACTGTTCCGAAGCAACACGTTTACACAAGCTTAAATGATGATACTTTTGACTAGTAAATTCGGCGAATCGTTCTGAAAACTAGGAATAATATAACTATAACTAAACCTAAAATCTTTGACTCGTCAATAGAAAAATCTCTGAAAGAATTTACAAAATCATCAGATCTCATTATACCAACGGAATCATCAATTTGATCATCTATGTTCAATAAACGTATTTTCTGTTCTTTCTGCATATCACACTAGAAAAGTGAGTATTAGAAGTGATTGCAATACGACAAACCAGTTGTGATTCTACCTTGTTTCGATTATTCACAAGAGTGTATAACTGTGACTTCAAAACAATTGGACGACCAAGATTTTTCGAGTTCATAGAAGGATATAGACTAAACAGGTATTCAAGAGCATCATATACTGTTTCTAAAATAAGAATAATTAGTAATAAAACAAGTTCACTAACTCATTTCAGGTATATCGGATACCTTCATAACTTTTTGAGGGCTAACAACACTATCATCAGGTAGCTTATGTTTCATCAGGATCTACAACATTGATTAATACAAAAATCAACATTTGCATAAATCATTTGATATTAAACATCAAAGCCAATGGTGTGAACTTGGGTATTTCTGTTTAAAGTTCGTAATAGTTGTAAAACAAATATATTTAGTCCAGAAAAAAAATCATCAAAATAACAAGCCTTGGCTTCAACATATGCATAGTTCCGAAGCGAAATCATGTATACAAGTTCAGTAACACAGAGTTGGGAAGAACAACGAATTGGTCAAAATCTTGAAAATTTTAACCCGTAAGACAAAAGGATATGTGCAAAAGTGATCAAATTCAATGGCAAAATAAAGATGACTGCTAGGTAAAAATGCAACTTGTAGATTGATTACAGACCTAGAAACGTAACTGCAAATTGCTTGAAGCGAAAGGTTACCACTCGGTTACTCAAATTCCAAGAATCTTGTCAAACCTAAAAAATCACTCTCAAAACAAACTAATTCCTTGGAGAACATTATAAAACTGAAACACAAAGAATATGTGAACCAAACGATATGCTACATATAAGTAGGCTTTTTGGCTAAAAAATCTTCATCTAAAATGTCGGCAACTATCTTATATGTTTTAGATAAGCAAGAGTGAATGCATATAGTCAGACTATTAACACAAGTGGAAGGATCAGTGTTTTTCATGAAGAAAGCATTACCTTGATGGCTTATCAACTATAAACCGGACAGACAACTAGGTTCAGTTGGGTTACACTCTTGACTGCTCTAATGCTTCTATAAAATTTTCTTGTAAGAACTTGTGGATTTATTTAATGTTATTTTTCCGATGTATTGGAAAAATGATTTATTAGTTTCAATTTCAATAAACGAAACAGGTAGTTTATATTTAACCATAAGTCTACCAATTTAATCGTTATAAAGTCAAAGGTTTTAGAAAAATCTATTATGAGCAATTCTTTTCCTAATCTAGGTCTTCACAGTTTGCTGATGTCACAGCCACCTTGAACCAGACAATCTGTCGGGCCTTGGTGAGTTATGTCTACGACTGATGTGGTTTCTCGCGGGTATTATCTCAGAACCGCTCAAAGGATTGCTTAACAAGTCCCTTACTAAAACTAAACTCACTAGAGATTGGAAGGATGCTATAGTTGGTCCTATATTTAAGTATGGAAAGAAACATCATGTCTAGTTACAAATCTGTGAGTCTAACTAGCACAGTAGTTACAGTACTCGGAAACGTAATTTTGTCTAAGTTACCTTTTCATGTAGAACTACATAATCTGTTAATCCCCTAGCAACACCGGTTTTGGGATAGGCATTCATGGTCAACTATCTAGACGTGAGAGGATTGGACAGCAGCCAACTATAGAGGTTTGTTTATCGACAAGATATTCATGGATTTTATAAAGGTATTTGACAAGGTTTCATGGTTATGGTTTGTACAAAAGCTCTCCAGCTTTGGAATAACAGGTATCATAAAAGAATGGATATAAAACCTCCTCCATGGGTCAATACAGACTGAGCGTAAGTGGGACACTACCTGAATAGTAACCGGTTGAAAGAAGTATGTCCCCTATTGTTCTTCTCTACGTCAATGAATTACGAAGACTCCTGAAGTCATAGACTGCTGTTCGCAGATGATGTTAAAGTTTGGAGAACAATAAATAATGAGGTCAATCATTTTGATCTTCAAGCTGATTTAATTACTTAATCCTGAAGATATGTTTTGGGTTTTGTGCCCTACGTTTGTGAGACTGCTTAGAATATTGAATCTAAGTAGCTAGTCCGTGTCCTAATAAGGATATTAGCACACTTGAGTGTGCGGGAACGAAATGAATGGTGGGTTTTTCCAAACTATCCGACGCTGAGTACTTGGAGCGCCTAAGCATTTTACCATTATTTTATTGTAGGAAGCCGAGTGACATTCCATATCTCAAACAGTGATTTAGGTGTTAACATGTAGCTTTTTACTCTCTCCAAAACTAATCGTCAAGGCTACTACAAGATTAAAATAGCAATACGATTTTTTGTTGACCATCTCTTATTTTAAGAGAAGACTGAGTAGCAGTTTAAGACAGGAATCTACCTTTGGACGAAATACTTATATATCTTGACAAGGAATTCGTCTTATATATAGGACTCATACAGACACTTTTCACCTTCTGGATAACAGACAATATAAGATCAAATTGTACGGAGTAAGAGTGAATGATATTCTATATGGACGGAAACCTATGGGAAATGGCGACCTACGAGAAAAGACCTTAAGATATTTCTACATTATAACATCAAGTTGCCAATATATCTAAGCGATATTAGTTGGCTTCTACTTGCCTTACCCAAAGAAATAATACCAGTTCGACGAACTTTTTAAGTTAGGAACTGGGATCTTATTATCGCAGTTACTAAAGGGAATGGCGAGAACAACTGACCTGTTGTCACTCAGATACATTGTCCTTGAGTTATTCTTGGGACAACCAATCGAATACAAGTAAAGCGAAACCGATTTTACGCTCAAGGATCAACACTCAAGGCCGGAAACCTTTAGAAAGTTTACGCTACCGAATTGATTTAACTTTATGCTTACATTGTTGGTAATTGTGATCGGTTGTTTTCATTATTAAATTTAAATGTGTTTATTAAGTCGTTAGTTCGTTTCCTTCATGTCTTTTGCAAGACAAATTCTCTTGCACTCAGCTGTCTACACCCTTAGCGTGTAACGTACTTTAGAGCTAGATGTAACCCAAGTAGTTTGAACAATATTAAGCCTTTCCTTCGGTGAATAAAGCCTGTGTCAATCACGTCATAGTATGTTTCTGTCTGTACCTTTATATCTCAGCACTCCTGCTGTGTCCTATGGATCGTCTTGACTTCCAATACCCATTCTTTTTCACGAGCTAGTATAAACCAATTGATTTCTTTGCGCTCAATTCTAGTTCTTTCGATGCGGTCCCAGAAAGAATTTATCGTACCCGAAATCATTTCATGGTACCTCACACATCGTTGCTAAGTCATCTCTTAAAATATGTTATAGATCTTTAGCTTATGAGGCTGCCTATCTTGAGTCAGGACAAATATCTCTGGATTTGTCGCTCGTACTCTCCAAGAAATGAGTTGCCGACGCTGAATTTAAGGTAAATCTTGTAATCAAGCTATATGTCCACGTCAATTAAGTCATGTGTTATGAAATCCTGGTCGCTATCTACGATGAAGTGTAGTGTGTCTGACACAGATGTAAGCTTCAAGAAAACGTGGGACGGGTTGACGAAGACATTGCATCAGTCCCTGAATTCATCAACTGGTAAACTGAGGTATATTGACTGATACAAACTTCATGGTTTCAGCTTACCTATGTTACTGTAAACATCCTCTGGTATGAATCGGAGGGGGGCTTGGTTGCATTCATTCTCTATCATCCTTTACTTATTAAATTATTTACCCCATGTGGTTTTCAGTTTCCCTATTTCATCTCTCTTTTGAATTTTGTCTTTTATATTTAGATACCTCTTAGGTTAAGCATTAGCCACTCCTTTATTTCTCATAAAGTTTTAGAATTTGGACTTGTGCATTTCAGGTCGTACACATAATCGACATTGTCAGCATCACTTCTGATATAAGGTATTACACTGTTGTTTTCTCTCCAGTGGAGAACACTTTTAAGAGGTTTAGCTAAATTTTTAACATAATGAAAGGTTGAAATTAATGGTTAAAACCAAGTAAAACCGGTTCCACTCATTTAAACGTATTCACTTCATATCTTTCTATAAATTTCTATCACATCAATATCCTGTTATTGTTCTTGGTCCTATTTTTTCCCGTTAAGATAATTTGTCCCCTGATTATCTTGTGGATGTCACGGATATTCAGAGTTGAACACCGCTTTTGTCCATAACACCTTTCATATCAAGGTTACTTAAAGCCGAGTCAAACTCAAAGTTAGGAATCAGGAGGATCGAAGATTTATTTGAATGGAATGTGGAAAAATGAGTGAACTTAGCTCCCAGGTTGGTGCGAGATGCATTGCATGGCGTACCCCACGGTGATCTGGTGACAATGCGTGACTGAGCACCTTCATCTTGGGTGTGTCCACCAAAACTGATGAGGTCATCATCAATGTCGAAGACCCACAGAACTGTTCATTTTGGGGATCTATTTACCGCTACAATATTGTTTATCTGCTCTTTCCTATACAGACTGACCTTTTTGTTAAGCTTAGCTTTTCTATTCATTTATTATCCTGTCTTTCACCTATTATCCATTATCTTATGTTCTTCAAGTGTGTTTCGATATCGTGTTCCTCTTATCAGTTCTCTCACCAAAACTTTGTTTTGAGTGATTTTCACATCGTCTTCCTAAGTAAGTATCTTTCAAAACTTACATCTTAACTCATTGCATATCTACTTAAGTAAGGAAACCTCTTAGGGTTTTACTTAATGATAATCAGACTATGAAAATATTTCAGGAGCAACTGGTAACAGAGTTAAGCAACCATGTAAGCGATTCCCATCCAGAAGCAGGTTGGTATGATATCAAAAAGGCTGTGGAAACAGCAGTGATATTTGCTAGTAAGGTAAACCATAAGGCTAGGATGAAGCCATGGATCTCAATAGCATCTACCGAACTGGTGGATGCTCGAAAACTCGTCCCACCTAGCTCTGAGGGCGATGAGGAGCGAAGTCAGCTTAGGAGCAGACTGATAAAAAGCCTGCGCAACGATCGTAAACAGTGTTGGGTGGCGAAAGCAAAAGCGATGGAAAAGGCAGCGGCGATCGGCAACACTAGACAACTTTTCCGCCTTATCAAAGAAACCGGTATTGGGAATCCTAGTGTAAGTGAGACTATCTCGGAAAATGATGGGACTACTATTTATTCTCAATCCAGGAGACTGGATCGATGGGCAGAACACTTTAGGGATCAGTTCAACTGGCCTCGAGCCACTCTTCGGTTACCCGCGATCTCCAGTCATCCTAAATGGCAAATCGACCTAAGTCCCCCTAGTATTAATGAAGTTGAGAAAGCGTTAGGAAATCTGAAGCGAGGGCGAGCTGCAGGTCCTGATAGACTGACCCCTGAGATATTTAAGGATGGTGGTCCAGTTTTAGCAGCTACATTGACTGAGCTCTTAGGTAGAATCTGGGAACTGGACGTAATACCATCCGACTGGTCTCAATCACTGATTGTCCCAATCTATAAGAAAGGACAAAAGTCTTCTTGTGACAATCACAGAGGAATAAGTCTAACTAATATAGTATCTAAAATATTGGCCTCAGTAATACTTCGACGCTTAACGAAAGCTCGTGAAGAGCAAACTCGAGAAAACCAATCTGGTTTTCGACCTGGACGTGGTTGTATAGACCACATCTTCACACTACGACAGGTCCTGGAACACAGCCACACATTTAGGCGTCCTACAATAGTTGTTTTCCTGGACCTTAAGGCGGCACTTGACTTAGTGGACCGTGATGTTCTGTGGCAGTGTCTGTCATTGAAAGGTGTACCAGGGAAGTACATTAACCTTATACAAGCTCTCTACTCGAACACCACTGGTCGAGTGAGAGCTTATGGCGAACTGTCACCGGAATTCTTCACTTCAAGTGGTGTCCGTCAGGGATGTCCACTTTCTCCATTCTTGTTTAATTTTATCATAGACATGCTCCTAGATATAACCTTATCCTTGTCTGAATTTTCAGTAGTAGACCTTCTACCAGGTGGCTCGCTTATTGACTTAAAATATGCCGATGACATAGTCCTACTTGCTGAAGACGCTGACGAAATGCAGAGTCTTCTGACCACCCTAAGCAACAATGCAAGCATGTTCGGGATCCAGTTCTCACCCTCGAAATGCAAAATGTTGCTTCAAGACTGGGTTTCATCGGCACCTGAACTAGTGATAGGGAGTGAAGTAGTCGAGCGTGTAGACCGCTTCACTTATCTTGGGAGTCTCATCAGTGCTGATGGCCGGGTGACTGACGAAATCTCAGCACGGATACAGAAGGCTCGATTGGCTTTCGCCAACCTGCGTCACTTATGGCGTAGGCGAGATATCCGTTTGCTGATTAAAGGACGAGTGTACTGCGCAGCAGTTCGCCCCGTCTTACTTTATGGCTGTGAAACATGGCCGGTAAGAGTAGAAGATATTCGTAGGTTACTGGTTTTCGATCACAGGTGTCTTCGAAGCATTGCTCGTATATCGTGGGACACCCGAGTGAGCAACGCTGTTATTAGGAAGCGGGTGCTAGGTAAGAATGGCAGATCAATAGATGAAGTAGTGAGACTTCATCAGTTGAGGTTGTTGGGACATGTGCTGCGTATGCCTAACCACCGACTGCCTCGACGAGCTTTGTTTTGTAGTGTAGGAGTAGGTTGGAAGAAAGTTAGGGGCGGCCAGACCAAAACATGGCAGAAATCCATGAAGTCACTGACAAGTGGACTGAGTCATGTTGGTAATTGTCGACTACCTAGTTGGGGTCCGCGAGATGATGATAATCGATGGTTAGAGACGGCTCAAAACCGTTCGCAATGGTGCCGGTGCATTTATTCTCTGTGTTCTCTCAAATCCTAATCTTCTGGATTCTTCAACACCTCTAGTTTTGACTTTCTAAACTTATCTCACTGAATCATACTTCGTGAATAATATCTTCTAATCCTAACCTCTCCGATTACTTCTGATACCTTTACTACCTCTTCTACTATTGGATTTGAATTGACAATTACATCTCTGTGCTGTTGTGGTGTGGCGACATGAACTGATTTACTTACTTTCGAAGTTCTACGTTGCATCTGACTGACTTAAGTGCACATACTAATAGATATTTTACTTTTACTTAGCTGTTTAGCTTCATCTCAACATCGATAAAATTTTCAGCAAAATTTTCATTCAAATATAACTATCTCTTGCCTAAGTACTTAGTTAATGGGTCAATATATATCATACAAATAATAAACTCTATGCTTTTTCGTCACAGATCTTCCCGGACTCTATTCATCCTGTTAAAAGGATTTTGAACTGAATCAAATAAATGGCATCCAAAAGAGAAATCTTAAAACTTTACAAAGACCTCTTATTATATGTGAATGGCCTTAAGTATTCGGACAAAAACTATCTGAGGAAGAAAATTCAGTCTACTTTTAAAGAAAGCAAAGAATTTGTTGATGATGATGAAGCAACTCGATTGTACAAGGTATGTGCTTGAAATTCCTTCCTGAAATCTACATTTTTTTTCTAGAAAGGATGCGAAATTTTGCAGCTTAAAAGATTTATTTAAATTTTATGGTGGTGTACACTTCATATTTCCCATAACGATTCCATTTGGTTTATGTAATTTGCTATTTCTCTTATGATTTATTTTCCCGAAAAAAAAATTCATTCTATTTTAAAAAACATAGTTCTTACTTTCGTTTATCTAACTTCAAAGAAATCCGATTTTCATTTTCCTAAAAACAAATGG